AATTAGTAAATTAAATACTCTAGTTTACAGATCTTGTCAAGTACTTATGAAAAGAAAGATTCATTTAAGCAAGAGGTTACCAATAAGCCTAGCTAATTTAACTCATAGCCTTAACTGAAGCTCATCTCAAATATCTACTATTTGAGGGGATTCTATTCTCTAAGGTTTAACAGTATCCAGCAGTTGTGGTCAACTCCTAACCCCGTAAGTCCCTATCTTACATTCAACATTTTGGACCCCAAATCAAAACAAAACAACCCACCAACCCCCACCAACATAGTGAGCATTAACAGAATCAGATTTCCTTTAAATTATACTATTGCAAGAGAACCTAATCAGGTTATCTCTGTTATGTTACTTCCTTAAGATTTTATATTATCTACACTTAATTGAGATACAGAGCTCTTTTCAGTTATGAAGACGACAGCTACTTTATTAAGGTTTAAATCTTATTTCTTAATGATAGGATGCTTCCTTTAAGGATTCTAAACCTGCACAATTTTCTTATGATGAAACCAGACCTGAGCTCGCTCCTTAATTTAAATGCAGCCTCAAAGTCTCTTATGGGTACTAATTTCATACAAAGGTTCCTTGGCTTTTGTTTCAGTGTTGAAATTTGGGACTGGCAATTAACAAGAGAACCTACTGTGCTCAAAATCTGCCTGGATTGGTGGAAGGACGGAAAATTCTTTCTCTCAGACAATTTAACTATGGTTATTTCTGATATGAAAACATTCTCTTCTCCTATGTGCTATATACAATTTTGTCTGCTAAAATTAAAATGATTCCTCTTTCAGAAATTTCTTATATCCTTTAAGAATAGCAAAAGATGTCCTAAGAGGTGGCAGAACAGACTGAGAAATCACTGATTTAAATTGTAATGGCAGCTTGTAGTTTTTCTCCCTTTAAAATCTAAACAGCAGAATTAATTCTTAATTTCTTAGGGCTTTTGATACAAAGACTTTCTAAACTAACTCTTTTAAGGGTCCATATTTATATGTTAAATTTTTTTTTTTAAGGCATGTATCTATTTAGTCATTAAGTTCCAGGTCCTTAAACACTCACAGGGACAGAGCAATAAATCTTCCTTCTGAGAAAGGCATAAGAGGGAGAAGTTGAGGGTAAAGGAGAGAGCCACAGAACTGCTATTTATGGAGCACGGCAGCAGAGTCTGGGCTCTCTGATTCCACAATATATGTAATTATGTGTTTGACTGCAGGCGCTCTAACACTCAGTCCCTTTGCCAAGTCAGCTATTCACACACTTTTTGGATATGGCATCAATTAAACTCGAGTCGTGTTACTTATGACGACCAAATTAATGGTTTGACAGAGGCTTTCTCAATAAACATTGCAAACTGGCCACATTTGAAGGTTTTAAAAACCATTTCTTTTCTGTTGAAAATTATGACAAACATGTCTCAAGTAAGACTGAAGACAACTTCATTATCCTCCCAATACTTAAAGCCTTTTAATACAAAAGGCTGTTTAATAACATGTCTGCTTTGTTTCCACAACTAAATTATTCCAGTTGGTCACACGTTCCAGTCTTCGGCAAGACACTCGTGTTATGAGAGATAAAAACATGAGAAAGGAAATATATTGCAGAAATCAAAAACCTTATCTACTTCTAGACTCTCTCTCTCTCTTTGCCATAATTCATTCAAGAAGGCCCCAAGAATAATTTTTGATGTAAACTCAGCTACAAACATACATCACTATGCTGATAAAAATCACAGGCTAAACTTATGAAATATAGTGACTTTCATTTCTTTAGTGCTGTTAAAATAACTTTTTTCCTAAGGTTCAACAGACACAAAAGATAAAAAGAGTTACCATTAATCCTTAAAAAAAAAAAAGGAAGGAAAGAAGGCCTTAGATGAATTCTGTGGTCTGATGATCATTTAATACATCCTTGTTTGAGCACTTTGCAACGAAAGGATACCAAATAACTCTTAGTTTCTAATCTCTAGCACCACTAAACTCAATTTTAAGTCAACATTCAGTGAGGACAGTTTAGGTACTATTAGGTATGGGCTGAAGATACAGAAACCAGGCCCTTAGTCAATTAGTTTAGTACCTAGACCATGGTAGTAGAAAAGAGAAGAGCCCAAACAGATAAAATATTGCAATGTGTGATATGCTTTATCAGAGGTGTGTACAAATCCCTCAGGGAAAAGATAGGCTGACAGTGGAGGTGGGACCTTAACAATGAGTAAGCTGAGTAGTGAGGTAAGATGGCCATGGGACAGAGGGAGAGCCAGAGTGGAGGAATATTCTAGGTAGTGAGAGGAATAGAATGCAAGGTGTGTCTGTGACAATTCAGTGACCACTGCTCAAATTTTGGATGGGAAGTCATGACCTGGTTGTCAATGTCTGTAAAGGCTGAGTAGTTTCACTTTATTAGCTTAACTAATTAAGTCAATACTAAGAGTTATCAGTATATTTAAATTGTAAAGGGTCTAAACAAGGATATATTAAATGATTAGAAGACCACAGATTTAACCTAGGGGGTTTTCTCTTAGGGTTTTGTTTGTTTGTTTTTGTAAAGGACTAGTGGTAACCCTTTTTATCTTTTGTGTCTGTTGAACCTCAGAAAAAAGTTAAGGCAAGTCAAACTCATTGTCATCACATCAGAACCTACTCAAAACTGATCTTCCAGTGGGTTTCTGAAGTGGTAAATCACAAAGGAGGAGGTTGCACATCTTCTTCCCACAGAGCCCCTGGTGGAGCTGAACTGCCAGAGAGGCTCAACTTTTGAGTTGGCAGCACAACTCCCTACAAACTACTCCTTTACAGCTCCCTAAAGAAACAAAGTCACAATACCTCATTGCTTGGTATTTAGATTTCAAGAGCTATTTCTGTCTGGTTTAAGGTAACATTTAAAATATGGAACCCCAAAATGGAAAACAAAAAAAGTAAAAGTTCCTTTGGTTGAAGGAAGGCCTTACACTCAACTTTTTCTAATACTACATCCCCACAACACCACCCCCTGACTCCTGAACTCTTACAAAAAACTTTAGAATTCTGAGGGACATGGTTTAAAAAGCATCAATAATTTCTAGATATTGGTAACCAGAGTGAGAAAGAGGAAACCCTGTAAGACTCACATCTGCATTTTTAACACAGGACCAGTAAAAAAAAAAAAATCTGAAAATGAAACAAGAATCTACAAGAGTCTCTTTCTGGATTGTCAATACTGAAATAGAGGTGCCCAGGTCTATTCTGTTTGCCAGTTTATCTCAGTATCATTTCTGGTTGTCTGACCCATCTTATGAGACACCTGGGAGGTGGGTTTTGGGAATCTTTTCTTTGCTCCTACTAGGTAAGGTGTGCTAACATCCTTTACCTTTCAGTGTGCCAAATCACAACCCTCTTGGGTAAACTTTAAGTCTTATGTGAGTTGGGAAATCTGAATCTTGCTTCTTTTCTGGTTCCCCTTCCCCTGACCCAGTTTTTCCACTTTAGCTTCTTTCTTTGTTTGTGTAATGTGTAACCAACTGTCTTTCATTTCTCAGAGATGTGGACAATTTATAAAATGTTACTTTTCAAAGCATACCAAATTCTTCGAAGAAAGATGCCAGCATAATGATATCTTTATTGGTCAACAGACTGTGATAGGGATTAGGAAGATGTTTACCCAAGGCAGAAGGGAAGCCAGCATCTGTGATGCAAGGGCTGCAGAGCAGTAAGCAATTTTTTCAGCTTCTTCTGGCAGCCATCTTGCAGTCAGAGGCCAGTGGAATGACAAGAGTGGTGGGAATGGGTTGAGGATAGCTATACTCCTTCCCTGCTCTGTACCACTTAATTCTCCCATCTTGTCAAATTACAGGCTGGGTTGAAAGGAGAACAAACAGTCCAACACAGATGGATTGGACAAAAGAATGAAACATCAATCCATAAAAGAGGCAACATGGCATGCTTCAATCTGTAAGGCTGATTAAGGAGTGTAGTATTCCTTACGCTCCTCAAAGACTTGAACCACATTATTACACTTGCTGGTCTTTACACATCTTATTGCTTCTCTTGAGCATATAATTCTTTATAATTTTTGTTCTCAGATTTACTAAACACTGTAACATAGGGTGATTAACAAAAAAAAAATTAGAAACTCCTATTCGGCAAATCTGAATCTGCTGGGGTGGGCCGTGGGTGACTGCCTTTTAAATAGCATCTTTAAGTAATGCTAATATGTATCAGAGTCTGGGAACCATTATCTTATAGCTTCCTCCAGGTATGTCATGAAACCTTATATAGTTTACAAACTTTTTCCTCTTCAGAGAAATTTTAGTGTGATCTATGTGTCCTTTCCACCGCATGTTAAGAACTAGAGTTCTAAAAATGATTAATCTAAAAAAAAAAAAGATTAATCTGAATGGTAAGCAGCACAATTACTTAAGTGCAAAAATACATAAAATGTCAAACTATACAAGCAAACAGTATCCACTTTGATAATTTAAGCAGAAGGATACCAACCTGGTAGTGATCTGTTCTGTAAGACTAGAAAGAATTTTAATTATGTACCGAGACGTCATGCAACTGCGAATAATCCAGGGAGTGTTGACACTGCGGCATGATGGATAAATCTAAATCTAGTCTTCAGCTTCCACAAGAAATCCTTCTGCTTCCCTTATTTGGCATGGAAGACAGGCAAGCCCAAGTCTGAGTGGTCAATTCTGCCACAGTAAAATGAGGATCCTGGTGGGTGCATGCTCCGAGCATGAACCTGTTCCTTACCCATAGTTCCTGGGGACCTGCAGAGATTAGGAGCTGGGACTGTGAGGTCCTCTGCTGGCAACAATGCAGAACAGGATGGAGGCTCATGTCAAACTCTGGGCATCACAATCCAATCCCGTTTGATTAAAAGAAATTTCTGGTAATGAATTAAATAGACCCAAGGAAAAAAGGACACGGTGGCAATATATTCTCCTGGCACCCAGCACACAGAGGGGAAGAGAGGAGAAAGAGAGAAAGGAGACATAAATAAAAGGAACTACTTACTGGGGCTTTTTTCTTCAGCAAGGTCACAGGCACAGAGCAGGTCAGAATCGATTGAGATGGGTTTCTGCTTAATCCAAAACTTAGTGCTGGCTTTCTGATTCGTAACAGGGTCTATCTCTACTTTGTCTCCAGAGATACCTGTAAGGCCAAGGCAAAAACAAAAAGCCACAAAAGTGGAAGGTGTGAGTATTTTTAGGGTAAAAATTAGACTTTACAAATCTCAAACTGGATGACCATGTGCTTTCTTAGGCCTTTGGAGAATGCTATTGACTTCTTTGAAGAGATGGAAAGAGATTTGAAATGGCACAGAGATGTAGATATAGGGGAAAAATAATCCTATCTGTTCCATTCTCTGAAACGAAATAATCATCTACAATATATTTAAAGGAAGTTATAAAAGGATCAAGGGTTCCTTTACAAACAACCTTCCAAGCTCTCGTCCTGGAGGTCATGACTTCTTTCCTTAGGGAGACTTAGTACTGGATCTGAGCTAAACAAAGACTTTATAACAGAAATTCAGAATGTTAGAATGCTGGCACTTCAGGTTATATTTGCAGGGCTGGGAAAGACACAGCACACTATGCAGTGACTGGGATTAAAGGTGTTAGGCAGACAAAGGTGACACCAAGGATAGAAGGTGTCCTGGGTTAACTGGGCAATGTACTGCATCTGCTCTCTGGGCTTCTGGGAGATTATACGTTCAGCCCGACACATAACAGCTAGGCCAGATACCTTTTCTTTCTCTTGCTGAAAATTGAAGAATCTGTTTATAAAGTGTGACAAAAACCGTCAGCAAGTCTTATAGAATGAGCCCCATATGGAACCTTAAAAGTAATTACATTTTTTAGGCCATAGTTTAAAGGCCAGGGTTAAAGTGAAAAAAAAAAAAAACAAAACAAAACACACAAAAAAACCCAACCAACAAAACAACCAAAAAAACCAAAAAACCCCACACAAAAAAACCAAAACAAAACAAAAAAACAAAAAAATCAAACAACCAACAATGAAGTAAGGATCTAAGAAGTAATTAAAATATAAAAATAATATAAAATAGAAAAGATAAAAGAAAAATCAATAATTTCATATAATCAATCTTTAAAAAATATTACACAGAAATATCTGAATAAAATGTGAGAAAATTTAACAAGTGCAAATGAAAAAAGACACACCAATTTAATTAAAAAATGAAATAAAATACAACATATCCTGACAGCAAATTTAAAATGAAAAAGAAAACAAACAACTGTAATGATTAGGTCTGCTACACACTTCATTATTTGCTTTATGAGTAAATAAAACACCAAATTAATATCAGATAAATACAGAAGGCTATGTAAAACAATCTATAGTAGAGACTCCTAAATGTCTTCAGAGGGGAGATTACAGAGATGGTTGCTTTAACCTGGTCACTACCATGGCAACCTTTTATTAACTGAATGCTGAAATTTGCCATTAGATACATTCAAGTACCTCATAGGCTAATTCAATTAGGCATAATGTCATAAGTCCAGATGATTCTGGATGTGCAGGTCTAGGTAATTTCAGGAGGGTGAGAATGTACTACAAGAATAATTTTATTACATTTCACTTAAAATAGATTAAGATTATTCGGTTCCACTCTTTCCTCCAATTTGGTCATTAATTGTTAAAAATCTGGGAATTTCTAGAATTCAAAAAAAAAACAAAAAAACCCAACAAAACAAACAAACAAAAAAAACCCAGAAAAGTATGTAAGTCCCACAGTTTGTACTGGTAACTATATGTGTGTTTTCTCTTTTTTACTTCTGTTTATATTGATATTTATAAAAGTCAAAATGAACGGAGCAAAATAAATGTGCATATCTCTTACGTGGAAATAAACCCTGCTCCACATCCTTTCTCAGAAAGAGAGGGGGGAAAATCATCACCAGGGAGATACGGTTTTAAAATTTTGTTCTATGGCCCTGCAACTCCTGAAGTCATAGTCAGTCAATATTGTTAATGTACCTTGTTAATTTGATAGGATTTGTCAGGTAACTCCACTGGAAAATTATATAAAACTGTTCCAGATGAAAAGATGATAGTGACATGAATTAAAGTGATAGAACAATAGTGGAATATAAACCAGAAATGACACCCAAAGTGGCTGTTGATTTATTGCCATACTGAGTTTGGTTCTGGGCTCCCATGTATATTAGTGCTACAAATCTGGGTCCATTTAGCAGAGGGATGCTCATACATACATCACCAGCTCCTGCTCCAAGCCAAGGTCACTCCCCATTGCATCAATCTTTTCAACAGAGCCTACTTCACAAAGCAGGACTTTTGCAACCATCTCAGATGTAACAGACTCTCGTCCTCTTTCATCTTTCTTTTATCATGTAAAGTACATTTTAACTTCTATTATTTTTATCTGTAAATTGTTACAGTATAGTTCATCCATTATGGGCTATATCTCTGCATCAACTGCCTAAGCTCTACACAGCCACAAGAACATTTTCCCAATGACGCCCTTTCTTGAAGTTGCTGTGTAATCACTTTTCACAGAAGGGAATCCTAAATTTGGTGTTATGGGACAAAGATGTGGGAATGAATACATTTGGTTCAGCAGGGAGGAGGGGGAGGGTGGGAAGGGGCAGGCAGGTAGGACACCATTTAAACAACAGGCGTGTTTCCAAAAAGCTGCATGTAATATTAGATTTTTTTCTGAATCAAAACACATTTTCCCACTGACTTCTAGTTCCATAGATACTTTATCTTCATTCTGGATTGACTGGCAGGGGCTCCCAACACTTTAGTTTTAAGTTTCTCTGCCCTGCAGGCTTTCAGTCAAGCAGTTAATGATCTGTAAAACACTTGGCTGCCTAGAAGGAGTCACTATTTAAAGGAACCTGGAGGGGAATCTTTCCTGATGGGAAAAATTCTTTTGTACATTAAATAATTTCACTCTACTTGATAAGTGCTATGAGTTTTAGTTTTTTAAAGCAGAGTATGTGGGTCCAGAGGCCCCTATTTGCTCCTGTTGGACAAACAACAGCTCTGTGCTTTTCAGTCTAGGAGGCCTGAGGCAGTCTGCTGTCAGAGCCCATCTTCAGAAGAGAGAGGATCCAGCAGAATCTTGCCTGGAAGCAACCTGTCCCTGGCCTGGGAGTCCTAGGTCTCCTTCTTGATTAGAAGACAGAGAAAGACTGGTGAAGTGAAGCCCAGTTAGTAGACTGGTGTCTCAGGCCACAGGAAGGTTAGGAGGAGATGAGGAGAAAGCATGTTAAAGGCAGAAGTACTAGGACTAGACAAATGACAGGCTGTGGCTAGTGAGGTGGAGTCAAGAGAGGATCTGGAGGCATGACCATAGGGATGAATGGAGGAGGAATGGAAGGAGGAGAGGAGGTTATGGAAGTCAAGCTGGTGGACGCTTGAGGATGTCAACCAGTGGGAGCTGTAATCCACTTGTCATTGTTCTGTGTTGCTAACAGCTGAGTGGAAAGAACAGTTAGAGTTCCAGAAACAGAACCATCTTCTTGAGATTGTGGACCAGAGATAAAAGAAGGCAGCTGAAAATACGTTCGTGTGTATCTTTGCTTCAAGGTCAAGGCTGCCCAAAAGAGGTAAAGCGAAATCTTAGGTTTGTTTTAAGTTCAAGCATGATGAATCATTTGTTGCAACTTTTTCCTTAGGCCCAAAAGGTATGATGTCAATTATAATTTTTTGAGCAACAATAGTATTAACTAGGGTTCTGTGGTGGCCTAGTGGTACGAAGTTGTGCTGCAATACTAAAGGCACATGGTTCAAATCTGGCTGCTCCATGGGAGAAAGATGGGCAATCTCCTCCCCTGTAATTTACTGCCTCGGAAAATTTGCTGGAGGGTCAGCTATGGTAGGTTCTGATTCAATGGCACACAGCAGCAGCTGCAGCAGCAACAACAACAACAACAACAACAACATTGCATTAACTACCATCAACACAGTATTAACCAGCACTGAGTACCAGCATAGTTAAAAAGCCTCTTAAATAATCCAATAGAAAAATGGGCACAGGATATGAACAGGCACTTCACCGAAGACGACATTCAGATGGCTAACAAACACATGAAGAAATGCTCAAAATCCCTAGCCCTAAGAGAGATGCAAATTAAAACAACTATGAGATATCATTTCACCCCAGTCAAAATAGCAAAATTTAACAGAACAGCAAGCAACAAATGCTGGCGAGGTTGTGGAGAAACTGGAACCCTGATTCACTGTTGGTGGGAGTGTAAAATGGTGCAACCCCTGTGGAAAGCAGTATGGCGCTTTCTCAAAAAGTTGCAAATAGAGATACCATTTGACCCAGCAATTCCACTACTGGGAATATACCCTGAAGAGACCATAGCTGACATCCAAGCAGATATATGCACACCCATGTTCATTGCAGCTTTGTTCACAATAGCAAGGAGTTGGAAACAACCTAAGTGCCCATCAACAAACGAATGGCTAGAGAAGCTGTGGTATATTCGCACAATGGAATACTATGCTGCATTAAAAAACAAGGAACTCATGCAATATTATTCAAAATGGTTGACTCTGGAGAACATTATGCTGAGTGAAATATCCCAGTCACAAAAGGACAAATATTACATGATGCCACTGTTGTAGAATGGGACTGTCCTTGGGGTTAGGGAGACACTGAGTAAGATGGGTTCAATAATGTATACTGCACTGAAGCAGAGGAGGGAGAGAACCGTCTGAAAGAGAGATGTAACTGGGTGTTTCTGTCATCACAGGAGACTAGAGTGAGGGCTGCATGGTGGAGGGGACCTAGAGGAGGGTTTGTAAAACAATGAAAGAATCTTTTCTTTTACTTTTCCATAATTTTTGGACTCATGTACTTATAACTTGTTAGTCAAATTTGTGTCTTCTAGGTTGCAACACCCCCATGATACATCTTGAAGGATATGTACATGTACAGCCAAGCACAATCAATAAGAGTGCATCTGAATTCCAAAATCAATCTCCATAATAGTCTATGTGTTTCCTACTGCCAAAGGGGCCCTTTAGAGTAGTGAGAGAAGATCTTCACCCTGAAACCCACAGCGTCCCTTTTCAGCAGGAAGTAGCTAAGAGAATACGCCGTCCCCTTTTCCTTATGACTCAGGGTGAAGTCTCTCTCAGGGAGGAGTGAT